GGTTCAATACAGCAGCACGTAACATCAAACCCTTCACCACCAACAACAATCAACGAGACAATTTCCTGCAAGACCTATTCCAGACTAACCTTCATCACTTCAAAGCTTCAAAACCAAAAATACCACCATTAAACTCCACGACCACTGTTCATTCGCCGGCGCTAAACAACAACAAAATCGACATCACCTTCACATGTGAATCAAGGACGAGGAACAAGATGAGGTGCAGTGTTGTAGCACATGTGGAGAAGCGATTTCTGAAATCACAGTTGAGAGTCGCGTTTAGAAATCGCGTTTGAAAGGACCATCAACACCGCGTCACTTTCAAATCGCGTTTGGAATTGCAGGTGATGCTGGGAGAGATTAATTGTTGAGAACTACTTGGGATTTCAGATGATGATGTTCTAAACTTGGTGCCATTGTTTGAATCAGATATATGAGAGAAGCAGGCACTTTTTTTTTTCCATGTTTTGAATCGTGAAGGGCACAACATGTGAGGTCATCTTTTTTTTCTTCTTCTCTCTGAATCCTGTTTCTTCCTTTATGCCATGGACTTTGGACTTTTCAGCCCACCTTTTGCTCCTTGCACCCACACACACTTCTTATGACCTTGTTCCAATGTTGATCAGCCTAATAGACTTGTTATTTTATATATCCAGCTGCCAACTTATTGTTTTCTTTATTTATTTAATAAACTTGTTTTTTTTAATTTAGTTTAATTGTTAACAATTTGTTTAGTTTTAAATGTTTTTAGATCTAATGATTCATTAACCTTTTGACGTGAAAATCCCAAAACATTTTACCTTTTATTTTTAAAGTTCTAGCTTAATTATTTATTAGATATAAAAGTATAAAAGAAAATATGTTTTAATTATTAATTATTATAAATATAATATGATTAATTAAGTTATTAGTTAATCCTATTAAATATTGATATTTAATTTAATTAATAACTCTTTTGTTGCCGAATTTTTTTCGCGGCTTGCTTGTTCTCTCCGATTAATTCGTGATGCTTTTTCAATGTATTTTTGTCGGTTTATTATTTGCGATATTTTGCCGCGTATCTTTGCCATGTATTTCAATTGACTTTTTACTACCTGATTACCGTGATGTTTTTCCATGCGTATTCTATGCTATTTTGTCTGTCTGACCATACATGATATTTTTTTGTGTATTGTGTCTGTGTATTCTTGTTGCCATTTACATGATGTTTTTCCGTGTATCTGCTGCTTTTCTTTTGATCCTTGCGACCTAATCCGAGGGAAGGGACTGTGTGTTGACTTACTGTCATTGTGCATGTCCCTTGTTTATTCTTTACTTGTCTTTGTTGCTTTTGGTTCTTAGAATCTGGCAACCTGTGGTTCCACGAACTACATACGCTCTGAATTCTCATTTATCGATGAGAAATACGTAGACACAAGATGCGATGTCTTGTCGAGCTCACTAACAACTAACTTCTTGTTCACATTTGCAACTTAGGATTGAAATCGTCGTGCTCCAAGTAGTCGTCTCGCCGTGGACATTTACCTTGTTTACCTTTACCATAGGACTATTGTGCTCTATTTAGTCGTCCCACCGAGGACATTCCCTTCCTTGCTAACTTAACCTTAGTTTAGATTCTCTGCACTCTATGTAGGTATCTCACTGCAGACATTTACTTTCCCCTTGGAACCTTGACCACAGTCAAGACTTCCTCACCCCCATTGAGGAGAACTACGGTTGCTCTGATTTCATTCCCGTCAGAATACGTAAGTACAAGATGCGATGTCTTGGCGAGCATACTTTGTACATACTTTGTATATACTTTAGACCTTTACCTTAGAACTTTTCCTTTAGCAAGCAAACTTTAGCATAACACAAATACTAACAAGAGGTTCCTGTAGAGTATTACAGATACTTAGGATGCTAACACCTTCCCTAGGTATAACCAACCCCCGAACCTTTAGATCTCTTAGTTGTGTTGTTACATAGCGCACTTAGGATTTTCTTCGATCTTTACCCTTTTCTTTGGATAACTCAAAGCTCGGTGGTGAACTTCATGATTTGTGATTCAAGTTAATTAATAGCTTGATATCTGATTCTCACCGCAACAATAACCAACCATGGTTTTTGAATTAAAGAAGCAATAATGACAGCCTAATAAAAACTTTTAGATTTTCAATGTAAAGAGAAGACGAAGAATCAGAGAAACCATTATAAAAACGTTATTCCTCTTCTTACCATCACACAAGCAACATCATTGAAGAGGAATAATCAAAGTGAGTTCCAAAAATGTTGTCCAGGTCCAACAAACTGTAGATGTTCATCAACCTGTTCAGGTTAAAGAAGTTGTAAAGGTCTAACAAGTTCACCAGGTCCAAGAGGCTGTAGAGGTTCAACAAGTTCACCAGGTCCAAGAGGTTGTAGAGGTCCAACAAGTTGTCCAGGCCGAAGAAGCTGTCCAGACCGAATAGGCGGTCGCCTAGCAAAGAAGACGAACCAGGAAGAGAATAAGGAGATCAAGAAGAAGGATAAGGAGGATAACTACGTTCCATTCAGATGATGACAGCGTAGCCGTATGGTTTGAGTAACTTTATGTCAGCCAGAGCATTTAGATTTGATACTTAAAACTTAAAAGTGTCTTTCTTGTCTTCAATATTTAGGAGTTTTAGTTGTATTAAATATGAAACTTGCACTTTGAATGATAATGACTTCATATTTTTGAATGAAAATTTCGTTGTTTTAATGTTTCTCATTTCTGTGTTAGATATAATGGTTGTTCATAGTTTTATAGTTCTACTGAATTGACTAGATTGTGATGATTATTATTTGATTACCATGGACATTTCTCCTGCTATGAGACCAAGTAGTGAAACTATCATGATCGGAGATCCCACATCATTCATCAAGTACATTTTTCTTTACTATGTTTTTATTTCTCCATGTTATAATAGTAAGCTACTTGTTCTAAATTAATGCAAATTTCTAAGCTTTAAATTAGAAGATTCAAAGTTTCCAAAAATTGATGTTATGCGTTGTATTTATCGTGTTTCTGTGTTTATTGTCCTACCTGGATTGAGTTAAAGAATTTAGTTCATGAGTTTGGTTAATGAGTTAAAGAGTTTGAGCATAAAAGCATATAGAACATTATGATATTGTATGGTGATCAGCTTTAACGAATGAATTACGTGGAACTTCTGAAGTATAATGTTATTAGCTATTAGTTTTTGTTTGCTTTTGATCTTTCAGTTTCAATGTTTCACATGACAATCGATTTCAAATCTGCAGAAGCACATTACTTCATCTACTAATATATTGGTATCGTGTCTACTTTTACAGGTATATAAACACCTTTCAAACAATACTATACTGAATAAAATTGGTTGTTTTGGAGCTACTTTTTTGTCTCTTACTGCTGTTTTTTTCTTTTGGTTTTGGCCTAATGCATATTTCACTCAATGTTGTCTCAATGGAGTTTTTAAATGCAGGAACTACTAAGTAGATCCAATACATGCACATAACTCTTGGTTACTCTTGGAATACTTGGTAGCCTTATAAGCCATACGAAAACATTTCATCTTTGGGTTGTAGTTGTTAGAACCGTGAAGATGTGATTGTGAGGCATGTATCGATGTTTACGACCTTGGAGAATAATTTTTTTTGTACAACCTTAAAAATCTGTTCCATTAGACTTCAACTAATTTTATAATGCAACTTCCTTTTATATGACATACATGATTTCTATAGTCAACATGATTTCTACGAAACCTGTTATTCACTTAAAATTTATGATGATCCTATTTATATGTATAATTTAGTTTCCATATGTCACAATTATTGCCTCAGTTATGCAGACTCCAAAAACGAATCAACATCGTTTAGTTTCAATTTTAGTACTTTGTAGGCATAACATATCGCTTTTCAAATGAAAAAGTATACATATTAATTCATTATTCTATTTAACTTAAATAACAACTATGTTATATATTGTTTTATATTGACGGTATGCGTTGATATCTTAGTTGCCAGTTAAGTATATCATTCACATAATTTAGTATGTATTAATATTTTAGTATAATAATTTTTATCCAAATATTTTTTTTCAATATTTTTAATTTTTCAAATACAAATGTTCAATAAATTAATTAAATATGAAATTGGATTTGGATTTTTATTCAAAATTTGTTATATACGAAAAATATTCTATTGTTATAAATGAGCACAACTTTAATTTTGATTAAAAAAAATTTATATACGAAAAAATACTATTATTATAAACGGGGACAACTTTAATTTTGATTCAAATTTTTTTATATACGAAAAAAATATTATTGTTATAAACGGGCATAACTTTAATTTTGATATATTCAAAAAAATTTTATATACGAAAAAAATACTACTGTTATATACGAAAAAATATTATTGTTATAAACGGACACAACTTTAATCTTGATTCAATAATTGTATTTACAAAATAAATACTATTATTATAAATAGATACAACTTTACTTTTAATTCATTTTTTTTTATATACGGAAACAACTTTATTGTTCATTCAATTATTTTGTATAAATAGTGTCAAAACAAAACTAATATTTATATACGGAAAAAAATACATTGTTGATTAAAATATTTTTATACACAAAAAAAATTATAATTGTTATAAACGAGAACAACTTTACTACTGATTCAAATATTGAATAATGGAAAATTATCGACGATTATATTCTCTCTTATAACATAATTGTCTTATTTATTAAAAAAACTTAAACTATTAATTTATAATATAAATTTCAATAGTATTTTTATTTTGGTAGTTGAACCAATTAACAACGTTGGAGACTCCGTCCCAACCCAACACAACACTCGCTAGTTTGTTGCACATGCATCTTTGTTACTTCCGCCTCTGTATTAAAAAAATCCTAGTTTAACCCCCTAGTATCAACTCACACCCCCCACAAACCCCATTCACATAAATCATTACAACACAATTCGTAACCAAAACTCAGTAAACCTCAACAATGGCATCCTCTACATTCTCCAACACCATCTCTCCCCATTTTTATGCCCCCAAATCTCCATCTCCCAGATTCACCACATCCAGATCTCTCCATCTGCCCACCCAGTCGAGGAACACCAATGTCACAAGGCGATTTGCAATCTCTTGTTCTTCAGATTCCGCAAATGCTCCCAAAGAAGACACCACCCCAATTGAATTAAGTATGTGTTTTTGTTTTCATCTTATCATTTCACGTTCTCCCCCACCTTCAGTTTTTCATTTTAATGGTGTGTTGCAGGGTATCCTGCATTTCCAACCATATTGGATATCAATCAGATTCGTGATATTCTACCCCACAGGTAAAAATTGGATTTTTTTATTGGATGCGTCACTTTAATGTGTTTATTTGGTTAATTAATTCCTTTTTGTTGTTATTAAATTTCTTTGTTGTTTTGGTGGGGTTTTGTTTAGGTTTCCATTTCTTCTAGTGGATAGAGTGATTGAGTACAATCCTGGAGTTTCTGCTGTGGGTATTAAGAATGTAACAATAAATGATAACTTCTTTCCTGGACATTTTCCAGAAAGACCTATCATGCCTGGTGTGCTCATGGTTGAGGTAAACCCCTTTTTCTGGAGAAAAAAAAGGTGTCCGTGTTAATGTCAGACCGACACTTGTGATTACCTTTAATTTATTCATTGTTTCAAATTATTATCGGTTGCAATGTTGGTGTTGTGTTTTTGGTGTCCGTGCTTCATATTTGTGCAAGTATACAATGTTGTGCTTTATGTGCTATGCTGATATGTGTGGTTGATTGAATCAAATATCTATGGATTGAACTTTGAAAATTTTGTTGATTACAAAGTACTTTCTTTTGGTTGTATACTTAGGAGGCGATGTTGCTCTAATGCTGTCATTTGATACTCTAAGAACGAAATGCTGGTGTGATTGTTTGTATTTTAGAGCTATAGCTTTACAATTGATTTGTGAATTATGATGGTCCAACCATGGATAAGAGATAGAGTGGTTATGAATTTGTTAGCGGTTGTGGTTGAGGTTTGTAATTCAGAAAAACATAAGCTAGCTCTACATTTATATATGAAGATCAATATGCAAATGTGACAAACTGAATGTTCATATGATCTCAATTGATTGTGAATAGAATATGTATGTTGGTATGGATTGTGGTGACAAATGTGAGGTGTTTTATGCAGGCACTGGCACAGGTAGGTGGCTTGGTTATGTTACAACCTGAAGTGGGAGGTTCTCGCGAGAATTTCTTCTTTGCCGGTATAGACAAAGTACGGTTTAGGAAGCCTGTGATTGCTGGAGACACCTTAGTCATGAGAATGACACTTATCAAACTGCAAAAGCGATTTGGAATAGCTAAGATGGAAGGGAAGGCATATGTTGGAGGTGAAGTTGTCTGTGAGGGTGACTTTTTGATGGCCACTGGAACTTCAAGCGAATAAGTAGAGCAACCAGTTCGCCAAAATGAGAACTGATTTTGCTGCATTTCTTTTATGCATGCTTCTAGCATTTTTTAGTTGCTTAACTCCGGAATTTTCATTTGTTATGTTATTGAGTAGAGAATCCAAAAATTTGATTGAGTTAAGAAGATAACTATGTGCATGTGTGGATTGAAGTTTACAAACCTTAAGTTTGAATGAACTTCGGTTTTGCAAAATCATAGATGTTGTTATTATGTCCCGGTTTGTTTGATTAATTTTCTTAAAACACTCATAAATAACTATATAATCAATTGCTATTAGTCGAGCCTTGTATTTATCTACATTACTATCTGCATTGAGCTTTGTCTTATACACCCATTGTATTTATCTACATTACTATCTGCATTGAGCTTTGTCTTATACACCCATTTTACTCCAATAGATTTTTGTCTCTCTGGAAGATTTGTTAATTCCCAAGTGTTCTTTATTGCTTCCATTTCTTTATCCATGGGCTTCTCCCACTTTGACTCTTTGGTGGCATCATGAAAAACAATAGGATCATGACCTGAAAATAAAGCAAAGTGAGAAACTAAATCATCAATCTGCTTTAGGCCATGTTTATAACTGTACGACTCTTTCTTTCACAAACCTCGTTCTGTTGTGGTGCATAAGTTGTAGTAAATTGTCTTCCGATACCATTCGTCTCATAAAGTTTATAAAACTCTGATGACTTATTCTCACCCACGATTCGTTTGAGTATCATTGAGGTTACTTCACTTTTGTTGTCCCTTGATATTTGAGTATCATTGAGTTGCAAATTTAAATGTTGATGTCTTTCTCAAGAATAGTTTTCCAGACGGTGCGATGAGTAGCCAGAAACAAATTATTTGTTACCATCAAATCTTTCAATTTTTTCATCATGTTGCTTCTTCAGAATGGCTATCAACATCATCTCTTTTGGATAAATTGTAATTCCATCTTCAACTATCGACCAATACTTTTTTGATCTAAAATTATTTGTGAGTGTTTCAACTTTATTTTTCATCCTTATGGTGTCGCACACCTCTGAAAATCTAAAAATATTTTTAAAAATTTTCGGAGATACATCTCCGAACGCACCTTAAATCTTCTCATCCTTCGTAAATCAAACAGTCATTCTATTTTTGCCAAAAAGTTATCCAGAGATGTATCAGCGAATATTTATAGAGTAAATTAGAAGATGCATCTCCGAAAACACTTTTCTTCCTTTATAAATCAAGTAGTCACTCCATTTTTGTCAAAAAAATGATCCGGAGATGCATCTGTGAATATTTCTATGGTACATTTGAAATTGCATCTCCAAAATCTTCTCTACATGTTTCTTGGGCAGAAACATTGTCTTAAGATTGTATTTTTATGAATCAAAAGTCATTTTAATTCGAATAACATTTTCATTATTTGATTCAAACATTAATAAACACAAATATCATAGAACAAGATAATGCATTAATATAAAAAATATCCAATCATATTACAAACATTGTTCTCAAAGTAAAGGAAAAAAAACTAAAACATCCCTAAATACAAATAAAAGCATAATGTAATGCGTATGCCTAATCCTAACCCCTTGACTTTTCCTCTTCCGCTGGTAACACAAGGCATTATGTACCTCGGTAAGAATGGAACATGCTAGGGCAACCACATCATCGCCACCTCTCTCAAACAACGCAAACTATATGCCTTCACGCGTAATCCGCATAATATTATGATAGATCGACAACACCTCAATAGCATGATCATTCCATACCTGCTCACTCTCCTGGATCTCCTCATGAGGAGGCCTTGGTGGACATCCAGAAGTGTTTGGTGTCATAACAGGGTGTGACACAATATAGAACCAAGTCGTGTAACCGTCCACACAATCTCACTGACTTGTGCCTGACATACTCTGATACTCCCCTAGTACCAGTTGACTCTCGTAATCTGCCAGTATGTCATTAAGTTGTTTGCGAACGATGTTGTTAGGAGCAACCACGGAGGGGGTCTCATAATGATCTACACATATCCAAACTAACTCATGCATCGCTCCGACAAATACTTGCACATTAGATTCGTCACACATGTCATCCATTTGGAGTAAAATGAAATGGGGCCGAAGGAAATAATGAGTGTTGTATTGTGTCCAGTGGATGTCATCATGCTTATACACGCGAAACAGCCGCATAAGATCATTTCTTCTGCGCGGACAATATAGGCAAGCATGTGATCAATCCTCAATATACCTTAGCACACGATTAAACTCGTGTATGCGGTAAAAGTGGGATAAGATACATCCCTAAAAATGAATAAGAAAAAAAATATTAATAACAAGTATAAAAATAATTGGTTTAATATTAATAATGGCTATGGAAATTACCATCAGTAGGGTGCATGATCCTGTCATTTGCTTTATCCTCTAAATACAACCTTCGCTCAACTTGGAATGCATGTATACCAAACATGCCCCCCCCCCCCCCCCCAGTTCCACTCGTTAATGACCGACAGATCGATGAAATACCTAAGGTACGCCACATCGACGTAGGTTACACATTTGTCCACAAAAATGGACGTGCCAACCAAGAATAGGAAGAATCACCTCAAAGCACACTTCTGGTGGTAGGTAACTTATAGATTATTGTTGTCGACATTCTCTATCAACTCCAAGTTGCTTTAATATAACGTCTCCAAGTAATAAAATTTGGCATGTGCACCTCTGGTGCTCTCACACTACATCAGGGCATCCATTATGTAAGCTCCCAAATAAATGACCATCATCTCTTGGGCTTCATCACGTTTGATCCTGGAATGATCAAGTAACTTCCCCCTGATGGGAAGGTGTAGGCAAACGACGTCATCTAGTGTGATCGTCATCTCAAATGCCATGGCTAATGATCTTGTACTCAGAAAAGCACAAGCCTGCAAGACTAGAGTACTGAAGGATGCTATGGAACCAATGATCCTTAGACTGATAAAGCTTCATAATTTTTCTGTTGTCGTTAACATACTTCAAACAATCGTGTTCCTGTTAAAAAAACAAAATATCAATTGTAGGGTAAGTGTTTAAACAACTAAATAATAATTATTAACAAAAATACCTTTCAAGCCCAGACACTTCCAACAACATGATCTCTATAATATATCTGTAAGTAGGTGTCAAAGATCTCTCTTGAAAAAGAGTCTGCAAGTGCAGGAGCAATATCATGTCTAGTAGAAAGAGCTTCCTCCTGGTCTATATGATCAGGGGATATGTGCCCATGGGATAAATACCCTTGTGACAGGGTGGTTCCTAGAAGTCGATGCTTCCCCCTCAAGAGGCATATGGACGGTTCCTCTCCTAACTCTGTCCTGCTCATTCTGAAGCATAGCCCTCTCACGTCGAACGGGTGCATGTTGGGTTTCACAGGCGAGTCCCAGTTTGTCGTCGCTGTTTGCAAGCATTTTTCCTGAAACAATACGAGAAAAAGACATCAGTTGGCATCCAGGACAATATCATATATGCATCACTAAAAACTAATAAACCACAAATTTGGAGACGCGTATTTGAAAAAACTCGTGTTTGCATCAATGGAAAAAAACTAATACTAGTTTTACCCTAACAACCCAAAATGGAATCAAATCATAGTGCATGTCTCTAACAACTATCTATTACGAATACAAATTTGACTACTACCTAATGCATTTATAACAAACTATTTTAACTAATACATTAATCAAAAATCAAAATAAGTTAAATAAGAAACTTACTCAAAAAGTGTTGAGGATGAATAAGTGAAGTTAGTTGGGATTGAAATACTTGAAGTAGAGGTAGTGTTTATCCTTGAAAAATGGACTGGAAATATGTTGTTACGAGTTCCAATGTTACTTGAAGTTGAGAATGAAATTTTTTCAGAAAATAAAGGAGAAGAGAGATGTGTGTGTGTGTGTGTGTGCAAGTGTGTACGTGCTTGCGCGTGCGTGCGTGTGTGTGTGTGTACGTGTGTGTGTGTGTATGTGTGTGTGTGTGTGTGTGTGTGTGCGCGTGCGTGTGTGTGTGTGTGTGTGTTCATCTCCGAATATCCCATTGGATTTGAAATTAAGGGTTATTTCAGAGATGCATTTGCAAACAAATTCTAAAACAAATACGAAAATGCATCTCTGAATTAAATTTTAAAAAAAATGAGGAAACAGTGCGTTCGGCGATACATCTCCGAAAATTGGAAATATTTTTTATTTTTTGCCAAATATTTGGGAGAACCTATAAGAGTGGGAAAATAAATTGCTAAATTTAACATGTAAAATTATGAGAAAGAAAACTTAATGAATTGTGATCTTACCGAATCAGAAAAGGATCAGCGGCCAACAACATGTCGTGAGCACCTGAATTCGTCGGTGTTAGCTCCTAATTTCGACTCCTGGAATTAATTGATGGAAATAATAAAGAAATTTATTTGAAGTTATGAGAGATTTCGACAAAGTGGGACACTTATTTTCAGCCGAAGCTAACTTGTCATGCAAGGAGGATATGCTGAATAAGAAGTGGAGAAAAATATTTTAAAGTTTTAGAAGGTGGTTTGACAGAAGATGATGGCGTTGTTTCGACATGTGATTCAAATTCAAATAAAGGAGTGAATTTTTGTTCTTATCCAGATTTGTGAAGGAAATACGTGGAGCTTTTCTAAGGAAAGGAGACATGTCGAGCGCCACTTGTCATTTGTTTGTAAGAAGACTGTTAGGGTCAGTTATTTTTTATCATTATAAATAGAGGGTTTTAATGTTAGGATATGGGTGTTCCAAATCAGTACAAATTTTTTGAAATTACTCAAAGTATTCGCGCGTAGAGAAAAATAGTGTGTCGTAAGAAAATGTACGTTTGATTACACCATACTTTTTACACTTTAATGCAAATTTCATCTCTTTTTTTTTACCACAAAGCCTATCTTTTTATTATTCAAGTTATTTTTCAATGCATTTAATTGTCTTTGATCAAGTTTCTGCACTTTACTTCCTTTAAATTTCGAAGTTGA